AACATGTCTCTATGCTAACACGTCTGTAACGTGTTTCTATGCTAACACGTCTGTAACATGTCTCTATGCTAACACGTCTGTAATGTGTTTCTATGCTAACACGTGTGTAACATGTCTCTATGCTAACACGTGTGTAACATGTCTCTATGCTAACACGTCTGTAACGTGTTTCTATGCTAACACGTCTGTAACATGTCTCTATGCTAACACGTCTGTAAAATGTCTCTATGCTAACACGTCTGTAACATGTTTCTATGCTAACACGTCTGTAACATGTTTCTATGCTAACACGTCTGTAACATGTTTCTATGCTAACACGTCTGTAACATGTTTCTATGCTAACACGTCTCTATGCTAACACGTCTCTATGCTAACACGTGTGTAACGTGGTAGAGGTGTCTGAACTCACATGATGAGAGCCTCCCACTCAAAGAAGTTCTCCTCGTTTGCCGGTCCTGCAGAACAAACAGAAGCCTCGTCACGTACAGGTTCTGTTCTAATGCAAACTGAACAGAACCGGTCCAAACCAACAGGGCTGTGCAAAAGTCTTCATCCATTTTTTTGTTGTATTTTTATTTTGAAGGATGCAGACTTTACTTCACATGTGAACATCAGGGGTGGAGTCTTACCTGCTACGATGCCTTCAGGTGGGTTCAGGGTCAGCTCTAAAACAGACAGGAGTCACTTGTAACAAGAAGAATCATTTAAAAACATAAACAGTTACTCTGCAGTCCAGCAGCTTGTCATTAATAAAGGTTAGTTTTAGAAATCGGGGGTGAGATGAACCAGGAAGTAAGAAACCAAAGTAAGGCTAACGTTCACACTGCAGGTCTTAGATTAGATTATTGTCTCAGATTRTTTTATTTTTACGTGGTGCATCATATTATTATTAAAACGTGACTTGAACAGTTCAGAGGCGACCTGTACGAGCAGAAGAAGAAGTGACATCACACACAGCAGACAGAAGTAATCACACACCATACATTTGTTAGTGTTGTGAGTCTGCATTTGTTGTGTAATCAGAAACTAGGGTTGAAACGATTCCTTCAATAATTCCTGTCATTTGATAACAAAATATCCTGGAGGCAAATGATCTGCCCTGAAGCTTCATAACAAATACACACTGTTATAATCAGCACAGTTTTGTCTGGTCAGAACGTGATTTGTGTTACACAATGCTACTACAGTTACACTGTTGATGTGTGTCTGCTTGCTAAGCTAAGCTATATTTAGCTTTAGAAGATGAACAACACGCTCAGAAAACAAGTTATAAAAAGAACGGGAAGATTTAAAACTAAACAGAAAAGATGATAAAATGCTTCACATCCTTCTGCACCGTAACACAAGCAGCTGCTGCATGTACACAACACATCTGGAGTTAACAACAGGTTTTTGTTTTAATCTGTGATAATCTGTCAGGTTACAGATGAACAAGGAGGAGGTGTGTTTAAACTAACATTATTTGTGCGGACTAATCACTGTGACCTGGCACGTTTTATTAAACACTGTGTAAGTTGTGTGATTAAAAACAACACTTACTGTAAGTTTGTCAGATAAAATAAAAACACAACAACAGATCGACAGTTTGAGCTGAAACGTGTTTATTTGTTTATATGATTTTATCTTAGTTTAAATGATACTTGGAGTAAGTTTTAAAGTATTTATAGAAGATAGTTGGATTTCTTTATTTGCTGCAGCTTTTATGATTTTAGGCTTAATTATACAGTTATATTTGTTTATAGCTAAACAGTCAAAACTACATCTTTTATTGCCTAAATGTGAGCCCTGCATCAACCTAACAACTGTCTTAAAATATGTGAATTAACCATTAACAAGTGAACTCTACAAAACTCAATTACAACACCCAGATGTTTATATTACACAATTTACTAATGCAATATGTAACAAAAAGAGACGTTCAGTTTTACAGTGTAGAACAATAAATTTACAGCAGTTAGATTGTCTGTGATGATTAAAATGATTAAATAACAGAGTGTTTTTAATTAATACCTCCTTAAACCTCACATATATAAATACAAACAAGTGCAGCTTAAAAAGCATGAATTAATACGACTGGTGTCGTTTCACTGTGACTGCAGGAACATGACTATTTTTATATCTGATTAATTAACTGTGAGAATAATTGATAGATTAATGAATCACTACAATAATCGTTAGCTGCAGCCCTGTCAGAAACACTTTAATTATCTGCTTGTTAGGTCCAGTGTTTACATGTAGTCTGCCTCCTGACAGATCTGCTGACTCAGCATTTTATTTCTGAAGAGGAGCAACGAGCAGCAGGTAAAATAAAGTCCACATCAGTCCTAACCCGGTCCAACACACAGCTCTGTGCTTCAACCTGCAGCTTTTATCTTTACACATGGATCAGCCACGGTGACCTCATCAGTGACGTCATGACAGAGTGAAGACAACGTGTTGTGGTCTGGTGTGTTTGCCCTCTGAGGGGGTCTTACCTTCACAACCCCTGGTTTACATGAAATAATGGGCGCTGAATGACGTCATGATCTCCTTGGATTATGAGTCTAACATGTCTGTTTCTGCACAGTTATTACCTTGTGCAGTATTTTATTAGTTTTATCTTTATTATTTTATTTTAGTATTACTAAAAATGAATGCTCACCAGCAGTGAATACTGTACTGGTGTCAGTACTGGAC